AGTAGATTATAGTTCTCCTGTTGAGCTAATTTCTGAGACAGATTCATCTACTGATTGTGTTAGTGTTTCTGATTTTGAACAAACAGTCATTGAAAGCTCTTCACAGAAAAGTATTCTAATAAATATTAATTGTAATGAAGCTGACTCAGAAAATGCAGGACGGAAAGTAACAGAGAATCAAGATATAAGATATGTATTTTCAAGCGATCGTATGAATTTAAGTGATCGTCGAAGTGATAATAGTGACGATGATAACTCTAGTTGTGACACTGAAAATCCTGATTGTGACAAAACTAATAGTTTTAAAAAATCGCGTAGATCACGTCGTGTAGTTAAAACGCCAAACTATTTGGCTGATTATGAGCTTTATTGAAAAAAAAAAGCGTGTTCTATGATTAGTTTTTAAGTTGTTTGTTACCCAACACTATTAGTTTTTAGTTTTGTTATTTGTACTCATTTATTAATTTATATTTAACTTGGCATGACATACAGGTAATATATGTCATGAAGGAGAAGGTGGTTTTTAGAGAATGGCAGTTAGACACACAACTTGTCATGAGAATAAAGTTTGTAATAAAAAAGCTATTTAAAAAGTAAGTGTTTCAATATTAAAATATACAGAAAAATTAATAAAACTCTAAACCAAGTGTACAATAAAACACCTACGACATATACACCATATTAAAGAGAATATATTTGTCTAGAATCTAGAGCAAAAATAATTTTTTCTACAAACGTATTAAAAATGCAATTTTTAACACCCCCCCGAAGCATTAAAAATGTTACTTTATCGCACTAGTGCCATAAAGTCTTTATAGCACTAGTGTTAAAAATGAAACATCAAAATTTGAGAGCGAACGTCAAAAAAAGTTTGTATTTTTAGTTATTTACATTGATATTAATGGTGAAATTTGAACAACTGAGGTAGCCCGATTGGCCGCCTCATCTATATTTTTCAAGGGATCGATGCAACCCCCTTTTTCTTCTGTATTTAGTTCCATTTTAAGCAAAAAGCATTACTGACCACGACAGACTTTCAAGAAACTGACAAGACATTTCATTACCTGTAAAACAAGGTGCTGGTTGTTTAGACTTGACAAATGTCAAATTCAATAATTTTATGTAGGAAAGGTGCTTCCAATTTATTATTCATTTCAAAATCCAATTTGTTACTGGTTATTGCTTTTTATTTCCGTTTGTAGAAAAAATATTGTATGATATTTGTGTTAAAAGTATTTTTAAGGCACTTATGTGAATTGCAGAATTCGCTTCGCTCATTCTGTAAACTTTCACATGCGTGCCTTAAAAATGTACTTTTAACACTTATATCATAAATAACTATTATTACCTCAAGCGGTTTAGAAGTTATACGAGGTTAAAGTTGGAAATTTTAGTTTCCGTATATTTTTAGTTTTTTGCTCCTAACTTAGCTCTCGACCAATGCAAAAAGTCGTCCATTTTCATTTTATATGCAGAAAAATATGCTGAATCATCTGGTACTAGTCTTAATAAATTATACCTCAATAACGGGTTGCTCCTTAATAGTCCGGCGGCGGAACGCTAATAAGTCGTCGTTTTGGAGAGGAACCCAATATTGGCGTATAACCAAACGAGATTTCTACCACTATATTTACGTATGTTTCTACATACAAAAATGAATATGACGACTTTTTCCTTTGGTCGAGACCAAAGGGAAAGGTAAAAAACATAAAAAAAATGAAAAAAATTAATTTTAACTTTGAGGCTCCATATCTCGGGAAATAAAATAGCTAGAGGAAAGGCGCCTAATATTAGGATACTGCCTAATATTGGATACCTACCTATTTCAATAACGTAGCTGTATATGTGCTTCTTTCTAGTAACCAGAAGCTGCGTTACACCTTAAAACCCTACTAATAAGTTTGCAGAGTTCTCTAATAGACTATGTTGTCATAAACGACATCTAAATGAAATGTGTGTGTATGAAAATTATTTGCTTCCTATTTTAGGGGCTGAATTATCAGTTGAGAGATAAACATTTCAAATATTTCTAAATGGGATGGCTAGTGCATGTTATACAGTAAATTTTTGTAGAGTTTTCATTAATAATAGTATATTGTTGTATTAGGAGTAGAAGCTTCACTTTTTTGTGCTGAAGCAGTAGGTTTGCGAGCCGAACGTAGTGAGGCTTGCAATACTGCTGAAGCACAAAAAAGTGGTTCTACTCCGTATGCAACACGCTATTTTTTCTCCAAACGAATGGGGTAAGCTCCGGGGTAACTGAATGGTTAAGCGGCAGTAAAAGTACGAGCGGCACTAAAAGTACTTTTGCTGCCGCTCCAGCGGCACTAAAAGTACTTCTACTGCCGCTGCGGTTGCCTAGCAGCATAGAAATTAAATTTCTACCACCTCGACAGGTATTAACCCGCTGAATTTGCCTACCAGCATAGAAATTAAATTTCTAACATCTTGACAAGTGCTGACAAAGTGACGTTTTTTTAGTGTAAACAGGCTTTAATACACACTGAAATTTGTAAAACCACTAAATTTGTAAAACGACTCTCATCGAGTACAATATTTGGGGTGGAAATCTGTTATTTTCTCTGTACTTTTGTAAATACCAGTTGCAATATTCAAGGCGTCGATCATAATCAGTTGGATATAAGTGCTGATGTAGCGGGTATTTGAATAACTTCAATTTTTGTTTATTGAGAATTCTCCATACTGAATTAAATTAAATTTAATACTGGTTTATACGGTTGTTAGTGGCAATTTTTAGTGTGCCGATCAGAAAATAGATGGAGACTCTGTCTTCATCTTACTTGTATCAAACCCAGTTCCGGGAAGGAACCAAAAATGGGTTGTGTTTTCTCTCTGCGGGACCTAACCGTGCTGATGAGCTGTGATACAGCGAAACGCGTCCACGGATGGTCCCGCAGAGATAAAACACTTCTCAATCGGTCCTTAATTGGGCCGTTACCTAATTAAAATCAAATGTTTTTCGGTACCAACCGACTTAACTTCTGGTTGGCAACTAGAATAGCTATTCTCGCAATTGTGGCGAATGCCTTTGCGAGTCGATTTGCTCTAATTTAATACTGGTTTATACGGTTGTTAGTGGCAATTTTTAGTGTGCCGATCAGAAAATAGATGGAGACTCTGTCTTCATCTTACTTGTATCAAACCCAGTTCCGGGAAGGAACCAAAAATGGGTTGTGTTTTCTCTCTGCGGGACCTAACCGTGCTGATGAGCTGTGATACAGCGAAACGCGTCCACGGATGGTCCCGCAGAGATAAAACACTTCTCAATCGGTCCTTAATTGGGCCGTTACCTAATTAAAATCAAATGTTTTTCGGTACCAACCGACTTAACTTCTGGTTGGCAACTAGAATAGCTATTCTCGCAATTGTGGCGAATGCCTTTGCGAGTCGATTTGCTCTAATTTAATACTGGTTTATACGGTTGTTAGTGGCAATTTTTAGTGTGCCGATCAGAAAATAGATGGAGACTCTGTCTTCATCTTACTTGTATCAAACCCAGTTCCGGGAAGGAACCAAAAATGGGTTGTGTTTTCTCTCTGCGGGACCTAACCGTGCTGATGAGCTGTGATACAGCGAAACGCGTCCACGGATGGTCCCGCAGAGATAAAACACTTCTCAATCGGTCCTTAATTGGGCCGTTACCTAATTAAAATCAAATGTTTTTCGGTACCAACCGACTTAACTTCTGGTTGGCAACTAGAATAGCTATTCTCGCAATTGTGGCGAATGCCTTTGCGAGTCGATTTGCTCTAATTTAATACTGGTTTATACGGTTGTTAGTGGCAATTTTTAGTGTGCCGATCAGAAAATAGATGGAGACTCTGTCTTCATCTTACTTGTATCAAACCCAGTTCCGGAAAGGAACCAAAAATGGGTTGTGTTTTCTCTCTGCGGGACCTAACCGTGCTGATGAGCTGTGATACAGCGAAACGCGTCCACGGATGGTCCCGCAGAGATAAAACACTTCTCAATCGGTCCTTAATTGGGCCGTTACCTAATTAAAATCAAATGTTTTTCGGTACCAACCGACTTAACTTCTGGTTGGCAACTAGAATAGCTATTCTCGCAATTGTGGCGAATGCCTTTGCGAGTCGATTTGCTCTAATTTAATACTGGTTTATACGGTTGTTAGTGGCAATTTTTAGTGTGCCGATCAGAAAATAGATGGAGACTCTGTCTTCATCTTACTTGTATCAAACCCAGTTCCGGGAAGGAACCAAAAATGGGTTGTGTTTTCTCTCTGCGGGACCTAACCGTGCTGAAGAGCTGTGATACAGCGAAACGCGTCCACGGATGGTCCCGCAGAGATAAAACACTTCTCAATCGGTCCTTAATTGGGCCGTTACCTAATTAAAATTAAAATAAAATTTACACAGAAGTGGTTCCATAGAAGTAGACCAAAATTTAGTGTCATGGAACATAGTTTCCGACTTCATGCCGTGTGGAGTCCAAACGGCAAACACACAGTAGGAACGACGAGTAACATGCAACTGCCCCTGTATTTGGTAATACCATTTGTGCTTCTTATTAATGTCACCGTTTCTAAGCCAAAAAGTTATTTTCCTTTGTCTTATACCTTCGTCTGGTGTTAAATCTCTAGCGGAATAAGGACACTTAATTTCTACTATGCCCAGATCTTCAATTAAACCATCAGGACTTGCCGCCAAAAAATAATGTTCATTGCTAATAAAGAGTCCACACGGTTTAATTTTTTTACCAATTTGACGCTCTAACTGCTCTACTGCAATTATCTCATTTTTTTTTTCCGTAATCGCAAGCGGCTGAGTAAAATTGTTTTGGATAAATTATGGACTCTACCAACGACTTGCAGCTGGTAGTATTCTTACGTCTGCAGACAAGTCCAAAAAATGACGCAGTCAAGCGTTTTCTCCTCTCCAAGTACCAAAGATCAGAGTTTGCTTGATCTCTAGTAAAATACTCAATTTCATTGATTTCCTCCGGTGTTTTTTGTATTTGACCTAAAATCTATCTTTTGCTTCGGTGTATTCAGTTTCGTCCATATCTGGCTTCTGACAGGCAATACCATAGCTTTCGCTACCATCATCAGCTTTTGATATTTTTTTAGTAAACAGTTTTTTAGCACATTTTCGTAGCGCTCTACTATTTTTTCTCATTCGACAGAACTCCAATTTTTTCGATAATTTACTTGGAGTACTTCCCTTATTTAGCTGTTTCCTCAATGTATAAATGGGCATTTTGGTATTATGGCTTACCACGGCAGCAGCGCATCTGCTTTGGTACGAACGCCTTCTACAATAATTTATTCTCTTTCCTCCTATAAATTTCGCAATTATGGAATTGAATTGCTCCACACTGTTGTTGTCTACATCGTGAATTAAACTTGAAGCATGGCGAATAAGGTAATTTTTGAAGCTGCATAATTTATCATACAGATCTGAAATTGAAAAAAATTAAAGGTAAAAATATATTACGTTCGATTACAAGAAATTCAAAAATAGCTATTTATACAGGGTATCCCACGGTGGATGGCGTATTAGACGTTTATGGAGAACTAAAAAGCGAATCATTTTGAAAATTTGGCAACCGGGATAGACGACCATGATCTACACTTTAAAAATATTTTTGACCATGCGGTGTTGCCGCTTCTACTCTAAACTAGTGGCAACATCACTATTTTAAATGGAACACCCCGTGTTTAATTGCATATTTGGATTCTACGTAAAATTCTGAGCAGATTTCATGTGATATACCCTATACCTAAGTTCAACTGTTTTGGAAATATTGACAGTTGAGAATTGACTTTTTGCAACTTTGACAGGCTGTAAAACCTAATTGGTTAATTTTAGAGGAAAACCGATTTCACATTCCTATCTTAGATTTTGATAAACTATTATTTAACACCAACTTTGAACTTAACCAGAGATTAAATTTAACTGAAATTTTTAATCATGGATTTAATTCTAAGTTGGTGTCAAATGATAGTTTATAAAAATCTAAGATAGGAATGTAAAATCGGTTTTCCTCTAAAATTAACCGTTCAGGTTCTACAGCCTGTCAAAGTTGCAAAAACTCAATTTTCAACTGTCAATATTTCCAAGACAGTTGAACTTAGGTATAGGGTATATCACATGAAATCTGCTTAGAATTTTACGTAGAATCCAAAAATGCAATTTAATACGGGGTGTTCCATTTAAAATAGTGATGTTGCCACTAGTTTAGAGTAGAAGCGGCAACACCGCATGGTCAAAAATATTTTTAAAGTGTAGATCATGGTCGTTTATCCCGGTTGCCAAATTTTCAAAATGATCCGCTTTTTAGTTCTCCATAAACGTCTAATACGCCATCCACCGTGGGACACCCTGTATAACAAGTACATAAAGTGAGGCTTTATTGTACGAATAATTTTATGTCCGAGCGAGCTTGCGAGCGAGGCTATTTAATAATGAGTCAATAAAGCCTGTTTATGTAATATTTAATAATGAGTCAATAAAGCCTGTTTATGTAAGCATGATTTTATGTACGATTACGACTGGTTTTTGTTAAAAATTAAAAAATTTAATGTAAAAAGTAAAATTCGCGTAGGTATACCTGTTTTACCTTGGCAGGTTGTCAGGACCTGTTTCACCTTGTCAGGTAGTCCAGGTAGGCAATAAAGTAGCACTTTATTTTACTAGTACAATAAAGTGCTACTTTATTGGCGCAACACTGTCCTTAAATAGCACTTTATTGGCCAATCGGACATAAACAATTTTATTAAAACACAAATATGTTACTTAAACTAAACATTCACAGGTGTGATCATAAAAAAATACCACAAGATGCGAATTTCATCATATTTTGCATTATCGACTATTTGAACTTACCAGTCAATTTCAAATCTTTTAGTGCACATTCACCTTGGTCAAATGGCTTTTCGCAAAAGTATCCAATCGACTTGCACTCTTTGTGTTCTCCAAACACATGGCTCGTGGAATTTTCTATGTCTCTTTTCAATTTAACGATTTTTTCCGATAATGTCAAATCGTTTTTGTTTTTCCAATGTTTAATAGCTTTGTCAATAGCCCATCGAAGTCTCAGTTGATTTTGCTAAAACATAAACTACTATTAACAGGGGCTTTTTATTTTATCAAACTTTATTGTTTGCTATCATTATTATGATTATGTACATACCTCAATTTTTTTTCGTAAAATCAAAGGGCCGGAGTTTGTATCCTTAACTAGCTCCCTAATTTTTTTGGAGTAGTTTCTTAACATGTGGTTTTTGCATTCAATTTTTTCAACCTTCAAATGTGGGTACGGATGGATGTCCAGAATTTTTTTAAATGTGCTACTATCACCATCAGCTATAACTTTGTGGTAGATGAGATTGTACATTTCTACACTTCTTTGGAAACCTTCGGCGATTATATCTGATTCCATGCTGGCTGCAGATCCCGACCAATTCTTGTAGCATTTGTGTGAGGTCTCAGTCGGCGATTCATTTTTTTCCGCAATATTGCACATTGTGCAAAATCTATTTCTGACACCGAGAAAAAGCACTTTTTTAGTTTGGTAACCAACAATTGCGGCAGCTCCAGATAATGAATTATAACTGCTTCCATAAGAGCGTTTTGCCCACGTCCCATCAGCAACAACAGTTATGAGTGGTGTGCCTGTATGGTCAACATCCCCATTAGCGATAGCTAGTGCTCGTTCTTCCTCTGCAGCTTCTTTCATGTACTTCACAGCTGTTTCTTCCCACAAATCGCAAATATTTTCATGTACAGAACTGTAAAGTTTCTCAGATAAACATGGAATATCCAAAGAAGTGCATATTTGTTGTAAGTGAGCAAATCCTGATCCAATGGACATAATTCCAAGTACTGCATTATTATTGACATTGTCGTCGGTAACTTTTGATGTCGGAATTTCAAATTTTTCATTGCACATGTTACATGTCACATGAAGAATCGATAATAAACCTTTTCTTTCTTCCTTCAATATCTTCATATTTTCAAGAGAACATCCAAATTGTGGTGAATGGCCAGAAAATTTTACAAGCTCGCTTATAAAAAATTGTAAGTCAACTACTCTCCGACCTTCAGGATTGATTGGAGAATTGCAACTTTTCAGAGATTCCGTTTGGCTAGTCGACGGAGTAGCTGAACACTACAAATTAACACACATAATATAGTAACTCTCAATTTGTATAAGTAGGCAATTATACTAAAATCCAACCGTTACTTACGTCCAACTCAAAGTCAATTTCGTTATTGTCATTGCTGACATGGCTTACAGTGCTACAGATTGCAGCTGCATCTAAACAATCTGTCGATGGTAACGGATTGGTCTCAGTTCCCATTACAGAGTTCATGTCTCCCTAAAAAAGCACCAATCATTAGATTAAATAGGCGTTTACCAATTACAGTACACAAGTTTTCACTTTTCTTGCCGCAATTTTCCTACCCGCTACACGCAAGTCATTGAGGACATAAATTGCCAGCTGTTTTACAGTTTGTTTGGCAATATTTGATAAAACTTACTGGTTACCAACCAGAAGAATTAGAAGAATACAAATCAGCAATTTCAGGCCAATAAATAAAGTCAGACATAAACTGTTTGTATTCAGATTTATTGCTTCAGGTAAGCAACAATAGTCAACTATCTGAGAAACGGGGTTGCCCAAAAGGAACACTTTAATGATGTCACCCGACCAAAAAGGCAACAATTAAAATTTGGGTTAGAAATACACAGCCTAAAAGGGCCACCTTGAAATACCTAGGTACCTGTTTAACACATTTGAATTATACCAAAGGAGTTGAAAAAAAAAAAAAAAACTAGAATTCACAGAAAATATTTTCAGGTTAAATGTGGCCTTTTTGGGCTGTCCTCCCCTAAGAAACTATTACCTAGAACCTACTCATTTCCCAATTTACCTGCAGCAATAGAATAACCTTAAGTAGGATGTTTATTGTTACTTAGGGTAAATTTATGTAAATGTTCATTATCACTGGAAAACCCGAAATATGATAAACGTTCTAAGCTTTGAATTATTTCTTTAAAATATGGTAGTACAATAAGTTTTTCGTAGAAGTAAAGTCCATTCCAAAATAATTCGTTGACTCTTCAAGTATCAATAAAATGTTGATGATACCCTCAACCACAAACTTCGACTACCTGTGAGCAGGTCCGGGTTGATTTTATTTATTATACCTGTCTAGGTGAGATGTACATGTAAATGTGGGTGAATGTTTTAGTTAAATTATTTAGTCTTTGTGCAGAACTAGAGCTGTTATATTGACAAAAAAAATGTGGCGTCCATAAATAATATTATGAAACGCCTTTTTCGTTTTCATTATAATGGGCACAAAATCCGTACCTGTAAACCTTTGAGTGGGTATTAAGGAACCCGGTAGCTACATAAAAGAACCTGGTACACAATAGAGGCTAATAGCTATCTAATTTATGGTAGGGTTTTATAGCCGTGAAGTCAACGAAATATTTTGGAATGGACTTTACAGATACATAACATAACATAAGACACAATAGTATGAGAAATAAGATTTTTAGCGTATACCGGGTGACAATGAAACTACTACCCACGGCGGCATTTCTCAACGGCTCGAGATAGAAATATGCAACTCGGTTTGTTGTAAGAGTTGAAAATTGTGAACAATTTTAATATGAGAACAATTGAATGTTTTTTTCCGGTTTCACCGGAAATGCCATTGACTTTGTTATTTTAAATGGGACACCCTGTATATATATTTTATTTTTGGACTCTCTGAACAATTCTAAATAATTTTTGTCTGATTTACCCTATGTCAAAAATTGATAATTTTTGAAATAGAGTGGCTCAAAAATATGTCGCAATTCCTATTTGTTTGTATTTTACGTAAAAACTGCCTTTTCCGGTAAAACCGGAAAAGACATTCAATTGTTTTTATATTAAAATTGTTCACAATTTTCAACCCCAGCAACAAACCGAGTTGCATATTTGTATTTCGAGCCGTTAAGAAATGCCGCCATGGGTAGTACTTTCATTGTCACCCGGTATACAGACACATTCATAACATAAGAAATAAATTTCGACCAATCGGCTACCAGACAATGATTACGTGTTTTCTGTTAATCCATCAAACTCGAACACAAAAGGGTAATGTGAAAGTCAAATTCTTAATGGAACATGCGCAGATCGATTTTCACATAAAATTCGACATAAGTTAACCAACTTTGTGATGTTATTTGTGTATAGACGACATAAGAGATTTCCTTATGGTAATTTTTTTATCTTATCTTGTGTTATGTAACGGTTATGTTATGTCTTATGTAATATTATGTGTCTGTATAAACCCACCATTACCCCAAAATAATATATTTTGGGGTATGTCCTTCGAGTTTGCTTTCCGTCTGATAATCTACTATAGTTACTACCACTTACCTTTTTTTTTGGAAAAGTTGTCCGTTTTCTTCTCCTGGTGCTTAATCGTAAAACAGTTTTATTTCCTCTACGATAAAAAGGCTCTTGCTTCTTATCCATATTGTACCAACTTTGAAACAATACTATTAACTTGCAATAAGACACGTTAACCCACTAAATAACACGCAAAAAACACAGTGAAAAGAACAATAATAAAAAATAAGGCGAAATCGACACAACCAAATCAAAACACTTTTAGAACTGCTCTGCTGGCTTTTCGTAGTTTCGAAAGATACGGCCCTGCAAGTAGCGAGCGTGATAGCGCAAATAAACAAGGAAAGTACTCTTTCGGTACACGCCTATTATCTACCTCCCCCTTCGTACCACTGATAAAACCGGGTGCACTAGGTCGAGAAGGATGAGCCTTAAGAGGATATGCCTCAACATTTTCCGCGGCACAATTGAGAAATGACAATATTTCTTTAAATATTTTATCTCAACAATCCGAAATAAATAAAAAAACTTTCGGACTTAGATTTCATTCGGGCTGCAGAAAGTCTTTCTGCAGCAAAATTGATATTGAGCCTGAGCAAAATGTTCCAGAAAATACACCGGTCACCGAGTACCACTGGCGCCGACTACATAGGGGCATTGGGGCAGTTGCACCCATGAGCAACCTCTCATGGGTGCGGAGCACCCATGGGAGCTCTGGTGGGGAATCCGGAAGTACAAACGTGTTTAATGGTTATTCCGTTCCGTGTAGTAGTATCAGTATCATGTAATTTGAATTTACACAACTTTAACTTTGAATAAAAATTATACAAGTGGCATTAGTATTCTTTCTGTATTTTCGTTATTTGTAGTCAGTTCTATATGCTCTATTACTTTATGATGCTACCCTCCATCTCTATTCTTTGATAATAATCGGGAGAGTCCTGCCCACAACGAGGAGTCTGGGGTATTGGTAATTGGTATTAAGCTATATGTAAGTAAGCTACTTACTTACTTAAGTACTTGGCTTACTTTTTAATTTCGTTTTTCTTGTACTTGTACCTGTTTTTTCGACTGTACACACAGTGTGTCCCATTTTGGTTGTCCATAAAAGATAACTCGGTTGCTATTCGAGTTAGAAAGATGCGGTTTCCGCGAACGTTGGCTACTTTTTTGTTAGACGAAAGATGGCGCCAACAGAACTGTCATTGCTCTTTTTGTTTTTGGGGTACAAAGTTTTTGGAAAAGTTGCATTTTGGGATACCCCTCATATCTCGGTTCTCTCATAAGTGATCGGAAAAGTGACACTAGTTTCTTATAGATATTTTCACGTAGCTTCCAGTGGCGTAGTCAGTTTTTCTCTAGAAGTGATATTTTTCAAATTATGAACCAAACAGGTTTTTTCAAATGAGACACCCTATATATTATACTCATTGGGTAGCTCTGCTTTTCCTGATTTCAATTATATAAAATTCGATAGTTTTCGAGCAAAAAATGTTTTTCTGTTTTTGTTATAAAAAACAATGTGTTAGAAAGAGACCTTTCTCATTTTCCTTACAGATGCAAAACCCCTTTCTGATACATTACAAATACAGACATCATCAGTGGCGTACCTACCCAGAAAATATGTTTGGGAGGCCCTACAAAGGTTGTGACTTGTGACAAAATCTAAGAAAAAAAAATTAGGAGTCAGGGTGCCACGCCTTGAGGTTGCTACATTTTATATACGTAAAAATGCAGTTTTAGAAGGGTGGTCTGGGTGGAGGGGGCTGGCACGATGGTTTCGATCACCTATGAGAGAACCGAAATACAAGGGGTATCCCAAAATGCAACTTTTTTAAAAACACCCTGTATCCTGTATCTGAAAAACAAAAATAGCGATGACAGTTCTGTTGGCACCATCTTCCGTTTGACAAAAAAGTAGGCAACGTCCACGGAAACCGCATCTTTCTAACTCCAATAGCCACCGAGTTATCCCTTATGGACAACCAAAATGAGACATACTGTACTGTGTTCATATAAATAAAAATAAAGTCATTATTACAGGTTTGTTTAAAATGTATACTACCTATCCAGTCATACGAGAGAGGGATAAAATCGAATACAAAAATCGAATACAGCGAGGGTTGTTTTAGTGCTGCCCGGATTTAGCAATCGCAAACACTATGAAATAGACGTTTTTGGGCATGACATCCGGAAAAAAAGCACCTCCGGCGGCGCCTGCGGCGATCTTCCCCTCCCCATATGAACAAATTTATATAGCTATTATCCTGCACCCATGAGGACTTTCAAAAGTCGGCGCCTGTGCCGAGTACCAGTAGCGGATATGTTAGGTGTGGTGAAAATTTTAACATTAAAACCGACTGTTTAGTTAGTGGAAAAAGCGGAACAGTAAAAAAGAAGAGCCCAATTTCGATTAGTGCGGGAACTGGAAGCAGTACACGAGAAAAAATATTGGAAACCTCAATATTAAGAAATGATAGCATAATGCTATCATAGGACTGCGGTTTTCACGAGAGATCTAAGATTATTTTTCTTGATTTAAGCAGTTTAAGTCGTTTTTCAGGGTCACACCCCCTTTAAAAGAATTAAGTGTGGCAGTTTTAAGGTAGGGGGGCTTAAGAGGTGAATAATTTTTCGTGAAAAAAATTCACATTCAACAAATTAGTTGTCATGCTTCGACGAATTTCACAAATCTACCTATCTACGTTGAATAGCAGTAAGTTTCAAAATGAACACCCTGTATAATTCAATATCTCATGATGCAAGCGGGGGAGGCGTGGGGAGTTTTAAATGACGACTCAATATTACACCTAGAATAAGTGCACCAAATTTCAGCTGGTTATAAAACACTTTGTGTTTTAGGCTAATTTTCACCTAAAAATCCTGGGCTATAAGGTGAAATCTTCAAAACTTTTTCATTTCTAAAAATAATTGATTTCTGTATAATCTATCTAGAAGTACTTTTTCAAGCAGAATATAATGACGTACCTAATTTTTTTCTACTTGTTCCTGATTTTGAGATATTGGCCAAAGTCTTTACACTGTAGGCAAAATTTATTTGGAACCCCTAATGTGGCCCTGACCTGAATATATATTTTTAATTTGTAAAATGTCCTTTTATTTAATTCCGTCTTAACTAACTCGGAATTAATCCCCTCCCATTTAATTCCGTGTTAATTAACTCGGAATTAATCCCATCCTATTTAATTCCGTGTTAATTAACTCGGAATGAATCCCCTCCTATTTAATTCCGTGTTAACTAACTCGGAATTAATGTCCTTTTATTTAATTCCGTCTTAACTAACTCGGAATTAATCCCCTCTCATTTAATTCCGTGTTAAATAACTCGGAATTAATCCCCTCCTATTTAATTCCGTGTTAACTAACTCGGAATTAATGTCCTTTTATTTAATTCCGGAATTAATTAAGACGGAATTAAATAAAAGGACATTAATTCCGAGTTAGTTAACACGGAATTAAATAGGAGGGGATTAATTCCGAGTTAATTAACACGGAATTAAATGGGAGGGGATTAATTCCGAGTTAGTTAAGACGGAATTAAATAAAAGGACATTAGTTCCGAGTTAGTTAACACGGAATTAAATAGGAGGGGATTAATTCCGAGTTAATTAACACGGAATTAAATAGGAGGGGATTAATTCCGAGTTAGTTAACACGGAATTAATTGTGCATCTATACCAGCAAATAAAAATTTAATAAAATCTGTTTTTTTTTAAAGATAAAAGTCAAAATGACATTATGTTGGCAATACAGTAAAATTGTCAATGCTTTCAAATTTTTTATGCAGAAAAGGCTTGTGTTGCCAACATATTTACTAACTTTTTGACTTGGGGAATTATCTTTAAAAAAAAAACAGACTTTAAATGTCCCTTCTACGCCTTCGTAGAACAAAGCTAATAATATTTCATTATATTTCAGCCTCGTCTCCGAAAATAAACCACTGTAGTATCCTTTTCTACCTACCATCTCACACACATTCCAAAATAAAATCGATATTTCGCAAGGGTACCATCCCTACCTTGCGCTTGCGCTGCGCGTCGATACTTCAGTCTTTTTCTGTGTGTCATCTCGTACGCATCGCCGAGCCGCGCGAAATCCGTGAAATACGAGAAAATTCGAATTTTCGGTTTGACCACGTGTTGTATACAACAAATTAATTAATTTTAAGGTATACCAATTTTAATTAGTGTGTGTGTGTTATATTAGGAGCACGCGACAGGATGTCCAGACGTAGGGGTAGAAGTAAGGAATAAGAGGAAAAATTACTGAAATTACAACGTAGGTTAGATCTATTGGAAGGGGTTTCCGAAATGGAAAATTCCACTGCATCCGAGACGTCTCGGAGTCGGAGTCCCATAAGTGGACGTAGCATAAACTTAGTCAACGTTGACGTTGACAGTGTTGATGCTCAGGAAAATGGTACACTGTTGATAAATTGGGAACGTTCTTAATTTACAACAGATTTTCTCCTTCCAGATATTCGCGAGGTGGACCCGCTTGGAAATCAGGCTGGACCCTCAAATTTGGAAATGCACAATGAGCAAACTGAACCTGAACTTAACACAGAAGTACTGTGTTTATTGGGGAAAGATGTTTCAGTGAAAAGCTCCGTGGGCCCCCCATTACAAAAAGATTTAACTAGTAGATGGGAGGCTATTTTAAAAAATGGACTGGACGCCGAGGAACGAGCTGAACTAACCAACAAATATATCGTGCCGGAAAATTGCAGAATGCTTTCCCCTCCAAAACTGAATCCTGTAGTTTTAGCAGCAATTACCGAACCCATTATTCGACGAGATGCAAAACTGGCAGAACTACAGACACGTGTTTGTTCGGCTACCATAGCCATTGGCCAAGTTATTACTAGTCTCTTAGCACAAGGGGGGGGGGGGAGTAATCATCAGCACATCCAAAAGCTGAGTGAGGCTGGAAGACTGCTACGGATATTTTACATAGCGAAACCACTTCCCGAAGGGAACTCGCTTCAGTAACTCTCAATAAAAGCTTAAAAAGCACTTTGCAGTCTGCCCCATTGGATGGCTGGCTTTTTGGAGAAGATCTAGAAACGAGAGTTAAAACGTCAAAAGAACTGGAACGTACAAGCC